AGCTGCGTGGCGGTCACTGGGTAGTGCCTGTTGATGTACCCACGTGCGTTCCACACTGTGATGAGCTTCACTAGAGGTACGCACCCTTCTCCGTGTAAACAGACCTGCTCAGTGTTGCAGAGCTTTGGACCGTCGCTCTGGGGTGCCTTTGTATAAATAACAAAGGTCCAGCTAACGTCTTCTGGACTCTCTGGCTGGGATTCAGCCCTGCTCTGCAGACCTCTGCTTCTAACACTAATGCAGCAGCTTTACTCAGGCAAAACTGGGTTCTTGCTGTGTGGTACGGATGAGAATTGTACAGCTGGGCAGGGCTTGGCCTGTCATTTTAATACTGCACTTTGTACTCTTCACGGTTTTAATGTTTGTGCAGCAGGCTTGGTCCTGAGATCATGTGAAATTGTTTTGGGGCACGGAGGATGGGAATGCTCTGCTTCCTGGGAAGGGGAGAGCTTGTTTAAGTTGTCGCTCCAGATTCAGCTGCCAGCTGGAGAGTGACACAGCGCTGGCCCTGTTTCAGCGCAGGTGTGACTGGGCTGAGTGGGTTTGGGAGGTTTCTGCAGCTCCAGTCCCCAATTCCACCCTGCCCAGGTTTTCCAGGTCCTGGCAGCCCAAGGAGAGTAGTGTCTCCCTTTGAGGGCACGTGATTCTGTAGTGCTTGGAATAACTCAACCTCCATCATCCACACTGTAACCTCCAACCTCACAACAGCCTGGTTCTGCTGCTGTGCATGCCATGCACCACCTCCCGGGGCTGGCTTCGCAGCCGAGTGTAGTCAGATGGAGACTCTCACCTTGGTTTTCCTGCAAACTGCCTCTCTGGAGCAGGTCCTGTGCTCTGAACACAGTTCTGGCCTGGGCTCTCCTTGCAGGTACCATCTTGGCCATCTCAACCCCTATCTACTTCTCTGACTTCTGTGCCCTCAGCAGAGCTTTCCCTCAGCTGATGCCCGTCCTCTGCCCGCAGCCGCCCTTCCTGTGGGTGTCATGACATGTTTTCCAGCACTGAACTTCACCTTTGTTGTGCTGTCTGTATGCCGGTGGTGAGTGCTGGTGGTCTGTCTGTCTCTGCTGTCCCACTGTCCAGGACAGTGACCTTGTGATGCTTTGGGAGGCAAGTCTCTCCCAGTGGCTGGCTGTCATTGCCGGTGTCTCCACTTCCCCTTGGGGAGGCATGCGAGAAGTGCTTCTGGCCCAGGGGACGGCCGCCTCACTTGGTTTCCCTGTGGGAAAGATGGCTGCGTTCCTCATGCTTGGGTCACTCTTTGGCTGGAGTGGTTTTGTTTTCCCCTCGCAGCCTGCTAGAAAGGCATTTCTTTCCTATTCCAGAAGCTTGGCAGGACCGTGGGCATGGTGGGCTGGTTGCCCACTGCAGAATTAAGCTTTGTGTGCCCTGACCGCAAGGAGCAACCTTGTGTGAGCCTGGGCAGCAGCGAGGGCAGCCAAAAGCTTCTGATCTCGCCGGCAGCAAGCTCTCATCCTCCCCAGCTGAAGAGAACTCCTTCCCCTGCAGACACAAGGAAACCAGACGGTGTGGTGGAGCTGGCGAGGTGGCCTCCACCCCCACCGCAGCCCTGCCGTCCCTGTACTCTCGTGCACCCTCAGGAAGCCACAGCTTCCTCGGGAGAAACTACTACGCGGGGAGGGGAAGGCCGGCAGTACCCAGCCCCGGGGAGTGCTGGAAGATCCCCTGTGAGCTGGTGGACGGCTGCACATCTGCACCCCAGGCAGTCCGCAGCCTTTGGTGGCAATGGCTGTAACAGAAATCTGTTCTGGCCCGCGATCAGACAACATCTTATGAGTGGAAGGGAAAGGAAGAAAGCAGAGAACTGCGAGTGCTCTGGATAGTCAAAGGGGTTTGTGCCTGGGCTGCCAGACTTCAGAGAGCAGGAGGAGGAATCAGCAGGGAAGCCAAGCTCCAGAGGGCAGTAGGAGTTGACGTATAAGCGAGTGGCTGTCCCATGGAGTGAGGGGGGTCTAATTGCTGTGTGCAGCATTAACAGGACATCTGTGGAAATAGTGCCCCCCATTCTGATGCTGCTGCTTCCAGCAGGGCCGTTGGTTTGTAAGAGTCATCAGAGCAACTCTTGGCCTGGACAATCTGCCTCGAAATAAGCTCAGTGTGTTCCTTATGTTCCAAGGAAAGTTGTGTGTCTGGAGTAGTCGGTCGATCTTCTGGGGAGAGGTTAGAGAAGAGAGCCTCCAGGCAACAGGAGACACCAAGATCCCTTGCTAGAAACAAGAGGGGCTGTACAGAACAGCAGGTCAAACCTCTTTCAGGGAAGAGGACCTTCCATAGGGGAACGTAAAAGCTTGGTCATGCCTCTTGTCCCCGTTGGGTGCATTTCACTCTCCTGGGAGTCTCAGGCTGGTGGGACCTGTGAGCAGCCAGCTGAGGAGTCGCAAGCCTCTCCACCGCCGCCCGTGCCTGGGGCGGTGGGCTGTGGCTGCTCCTTGGGGTTGGCAGTGAATAGTCTTCTCCACATTTGCAGAGCGGGACTACCACAGCCTGTGTGAGAAGCAGCCCATTGGGCACATGCTCTTTCGGCAGTTCTGCGAGACACGACCTGAGCTGTCACGCTGCGTCAAGTTCCTGGATGCCGTGGTAAGAGCAAAGCCTGTCGAGCTTTGTTGGGGGCAGGCAGGGGTGTTCTTGGTGCCCTGGGCACAGACCGGTTGGCCCTGGGTGCTCCAGCAGTTGCCAGGTACTCCTGGGCACGTAGGGTTTTCCTGAAGGAAAAACCTGTGAGTTGCAGTTTCTCCAAGATAGGGCTGGGCCTTTGCTTAGGGAGCTGTTTGCTGGAGATCTGGTTTTCCAGGAAAGCATGGGAAACCTTGGGCAGAGGGTGTTGCTGCTCTGCAGCTGTTGCCCGGTAGCAAGGCTTGGTTCCTGGCTGGACCTGCTCCTCATGCTGTTTGCTCTCTGCAGGCAGGGTACGAAGTGGCTCCAGATGAGAAGCGGAAGGAATGTGGGCAGCACCTGATTGAAAAGTACTTGAAGCCAAACGTGAGTAAGAGGGTTGTGTTTGCTGCCTGCAACATTGGAAAGCTGACAGCTGTCATTACCCGTGTCCTGCCACAGCGAACGTGCTGGGCAGGATGGTGAGGGCAGAGTACAGAGCCACCCCACTACCTCACAAGCAACCATTGCTGCTTTTCCCACTGGCCCTAAAGCAGATGGGCGCCTGTGTGCTGTCAGTGTGGGCTTCTCTTTCCTGGGAGGATCCTTGTGCTCTGCTCCCTATGTCTGACTCCATCCCTTTGTCCCCAGAGTGAGGACCATGTGCCTGAAGTCCCCTCGCAGCTGGTGGATGCCTGTTGTGAGAGGCTGGAGCAGGAACCTTCCAAGGAGCTCTTCAAGGAATCCACTAAGTAAGTTGGAGGGCTGGGGCCTGCCTGTGGGTCACATCATGGCCTGGGGTAGATGCGGCAGCTAACTCACCTTGTCCCTCGTGGTCCCTTCCTCCAGGAGAGCAAGGGCCGGTGCTAAGGCTGGGACCTGGGGAGTTTTGGGCTAGCAGTTTGCAGCACAGCTACAGGAAAGCAAATGCAAAGAGCTTCCATGGGCTCTGGGAGCCACAAGCTGCTGCAGAAACCTCTGTCACTCCTCTCAGTCTGCCATGGGTGTGAGTTGCCATTTGGGAAGTCCTCGTTTCAGCGAGCCTCAGCATCTGGCCATGCTGTTCCTAGTCTTGTGCCAGGATCTTGTAGGCACCCGTAGAGCAGAGCTGACAGCTGCAGTCCCGGTGCCAGCTGTCCTCTCCCGCTGGCCGCAGATGTGGCCGTTGTGGTTAGGTTACGCTGGCTGTTGCTGCAGGGATCTAAGGTCACTTCTGTTCCCATCGCAGCAGCAGTGGCTGAGGTCCTGGCTCCGGGTGCAAAGCGGAAGCTGTTAGGCAAACCGGGCTTACGGCCTCCACCCCTCCCTGAACAGTAGCTGGAGCACGTTGCCTAATCAAGTGAAGGGCTGTGGCAATGGGTTTGCTGCAGTCTTCTGGGGAGCGTTAGCTCTGTGTGTGGTAACTAGTGTCGCTGTCTGAATGCAGAGCCTCCGGGCTGGGCCCTGCCTGCTCTTGGCAAGCTCTGAAAGGGGAAGAGCCTGTCCGCTTCTCCTTGATGCATGTCTCCAGTCTAGACACTATGTCTAAGGCTCTTTACTCCGCTGGGCAGCCCTGGCACCCGTCTCCAAGGCAGTTAGCTCTCTCAAGCAGGATCCCCTGTGGCCTTTTGTGCTGGATATTCATCTGAAACTGAACAACTCAGCGCCTGGTGCTGAACATTGCTAGCAGCTTTCGGCAGCTGATTACAGCCTTGAGTGTGCATTTGCTCTGTGAGCAGAGGCAATTGCAAAGAGTCCCGTCGTCCCGCTTTGACCTGCGGCCCGGGCTGGTGCTGAGAGTCCACAATTAGCAGTGCCAGCCCCGTCCCGGGGTGCTGTGTTCATTACAGCGGTACCTCCAACGCGCCTTTCTTTTGCATCAGGCTTAGTGCGGAGGATGGGCTTTTTGGGCCAGGGCTGCACGGGGTACGTGGGTGACACAGCGCCAGGCTGGGTGAGAGGATGGCAAAGTAAACGGGTTCTCGGGGCTGCTCACCTCCTCTTTCCTTGGACTGCTGGCCTTTTCCATGGCTGTGATCAGCTCTCAGGAACCTTGCTGGCTCTGCTCTTTCCTAGGCTTATCCACGACTACCTGAGCGTGGCTCCCTTTGCTGACTACCTCGACAGCTTGTACTTCAACCGCTTCCTGCAGTGGAAATGGCTGGAACGGTAAGGCACCCCAGCATCGCTGGGAGACCTGCACCCTGCTTGCATGGGCTGCCTGAGGGGTCTCTCAGGCTCCTTCCCGTGCTGGGCCCTGGCCCCTGGGCACTCTTGCTTTCCTTCAGGGCCCTTTATTGGCACCATCAGCAGCCCCAGTCTTGCTTGCCTCGCAGGGAAGCAAGGTCTGCTTCAGCAGGGGTTTTGGGGTTGGCCACAGTCTCTCAGGCCAGGGCATGGGGGTGGTTTGGGCTTCACTGCTGCTCTCTCCCTGCTCCCATCTCACTCCAGTTTTCTTTCCCTCACAGGCAGCCAGTGACCAAAAACACTTTCCGCCAGTACCGTGTGCTGGGCAAGGGCGGTTTTGGGGAGGTGAGTGACCAGCATTTCCTCTGCATTCGGGGTACCAGGCAGCCACCATTGCCCGCTGCCAGATGCGGGCCTGGGTTGGCCATCAGGGTGCCACAAGCTGCTCCAGCACCTGGAGGCAGGTGCTGCTGGCTGGGGGGCTGTGGGGGCCCTGCGCTGGGCACTGCTGTGCTCTGGGCATTGCATGATCCCTCAGTTCCCCTGTGAGGGGCAGGAGCTCCCCTCTTGCCAGGCACTGGAGGTGTGGAAGGTGTTGCACAGGGTAGGTAGCACGTGCCCTGTGGTGCATACTGCTGCTTGGGCAGAAAGCCAGGTCTGTTCCCCATGTCTTGGCAGGGGAAACTGCACTCCTGAAAACCCTCACTGTTAGGCTTCCTTCTGTTTCTGGAGTGGCCTTCTGTCTTCCCAGGCACCAGCCATGGTGCTGCTACAGGTGGCAGGGGCATCACAGCCCTCTGCTGCTTATCTGTGACATCTGGAGATGTCGCTGTTCTCTGTGTTCTTACTTTGACAGCAGGCTTCTTACTAACCTCAGAGTGAGGCGGGGACAGGGACATCTTTGCCTTCCCATGCCTCTTCCTGAGAACAGAACCTAGACCCCCACCTTGGAAACGGCAGCAGAAGGATGCTGAGCCTTGTCCCTCCTCCAGGTTTGTGCCTGCCAAGTGCGTGCCACGGGGAAGATGTACGCCTGCAAGAAACTGGAGAAGAAACGGATCAAAAAGCGGAAAGGAGAGGCCATGGCCCTGAATGAGAAACAGATCCTCGAAAAAGTGAACAGTAGGTTTGTAGTAAGTACATAGGAATTGCTCTCACATTGCTGCGGTGGTTGATTCTTCCTCCAACCAGCCGGCCTGGCACCTCTGTGCTCCTCACCTCATGTGGAGAGGCAGGAGCAGGCCCTGCCCATGGGGTAGGATTCTGGCAGCTGCACATCTCTCACAAGGCTGGAGTCTGGCAGGCCCTCCTGCCTCCACAAGATGCTGTAAATGCCTCCAAAGTGAGGCCCAAACACCCATCTGGTCTCACAGGCACCTTCTTAACCTCAGAGGCACAAGAAAGCAGCAAGAACTGTCTCTTCAGACAGCCAAGTGGGCAGAAGCCTAGCCCTGAGCTGTGTGGTGGGGGGCTCTCTCCCTGGCTGCACTGAGGTGTGGACAGCCTGAAACCTCCCTTTACGGAGGATTCATCAGACGCTGTCCCAGGGTTGCTGTTGGGTGCTGCTTGCCCCTGGAGGGGAGCAGTTCTGGCTCAGGGAAATAATGTCCTCCCTGTCTGAGGAAAGCTGGGGGTATGCTGGGGCTGCTGGGCACCTTCACGTCCTCCCTGGGTTTGCACAGTTCCCCCTCTGCCTCCTCTGCTGGCAAAGGCCCAGTCCTGCTGCTTGTGAGTGGCTGCTTGGGTGACAAAGTGCCCATCAGAGCATGGGCACCTCCCTCTTCCAGCTGTGTCTTCTAACAGCCTTTCTGCCCTGAATTGCAGGTGAGCTTAGCCTATGCATATGAAACTAAAGATGCTCTCTGCCTAGTGCTGACCCTCATGAATGGAGGGGACCTCAAGTTCCATATCTACCACATGGGAGAGGCTGGCTTCGAGGAGCCCCGAGCAGCTTTCTATGCTGCCGAGATCTGCTGTGGCCTCGAGGACTTGCACCAGGAGAGGATAGTGTACAGGTGCGCGCTGCCTGGCCCCTGCTGGGAGATCTTGTATGGGCTGCAGAAGCAAGAGAGTTCCTGCTGCTCTTACTAGCCCAGCTGGATCTGTCTGCTCAAGAAAATAAGCTCAGGCTTGAAAGCAGCACAGAGCTGGGTGAGAGCGGATCAGGAACAGAAAGCTGATCTCACGGGAGAGACGGGAGAGCTTAGCTTGGCTTCCTCATGCTGGTAAATGATCACTGAGAACAGGATGTGATCATGCTGTGAACGCCTCGGGGCAGGCACTTGGGTGCTTAACTCCCGGGCAATATTGACACTAGAACAAAGGATGGTAGGCTGCCCCGATGCACTCAAGACTGAGAGCTGGGCAGGAGGGAGAACAAGCTGATTGTATGACTGTACTCACCGGCTTGTGGGATGCAGCATTAGGGATAGCATGGCTAAACATGGGGCTGGAAAATCCTGGGGCAGGACAAGCAAAAGAAGCCTCTGTTGCTCTCTTGCACGGCCTGTCCCATAGTGAGTTCTGCACCTGCAAAGAGGGAATCAGCCACAGGCTCACTGCTTTCTTGTGGAGGGTTGAAGGTTGTCATGTCCTGCCTCTCTGCCTGGGAAGGGAGAGCTTGCAGGACTAACTCCAGGGCAGGGGTGAGGGGAAGTTTATCTGTGTGCCCGAGGCAGGGGCATTGCATCCCTCTGCTGCTTATCTGTGACTTCTTGAGATGTCGCTGTTGCTTGTGTCCTTTGCTTTGACAACAGGCTTCTTGCTAATCAAGTCCCTTCCTTCCTAGGGACCTGAAGCCAGAGAACATATTGCTGGATGACCATGGTGAGTGCAGGGTCAAGAGGAGCCCTGGGCCTGAGTCCTTCTCTCTTCCTCTGCTTGAACCAGGGTTGCTCTGTATTCTTGGCAGCTTCAAACATTGCCCCTTGACCTTGTCCTGTTAACTTGCCTCCTCCTCTGTGCAGGTCACATCCGTATCTCAGACCTGGGGCTAGCTGTGCACGTGCCGGAGGGCCAAACAATCAAGGGCCGGGTGGGGACAGTTGGCTACATGGGTAAGTGACCCTGGTTTAATCAAAAAGCAGTCTCTGACTGCACACGTGCTCTCCCTGCCCTCACACGTCCCTCACCCCTGCTCCTATGTAGCTCCGGAGGTGGTGAAGAACGAGCGCTACACGTTCAGCCCAGACTGGTGGGCTCTGGGCTGCCTTGTGTACGAGATGATCGAGGGACAGTCCCCCTTCCAGCAGCGCAAGAAGAAGATCAAGCGGGAGGAGGTGGAGCGGTTGGTGAAGGAAGTGCAGGAGGAGTACTCGGAGAAGTTCTCGCCCTGCGCCCGTTCCCTCTGCACCATGGTACGAGTGTGCATCCCTGTCCCTTCGCTCCCACCGCCTCTTTGCAGACAGCAAGAGAACATCGAGGCTGCTCCCTGTAGAGGTGCTGGTGGCAGCCAGGTTCCCTTGGCTCTGATAAGGCAGTGCAGGAGGGTCCAGAGTGCCTTAATTCCTCACTCTCCCAGCTGCCTAGCAGGCCCGTGCCGTCTCTAGAGACATACTGCAGGAGCCCGGCTGATCTCAGGGCTGCTCTTGCCAGAAGCACCCTCCACCTGGAGTACTGATTTCCTTTGTGTTGCAGCTCCTGTGCAAAGACCCTCTGGAGCGCCTGGGGTGCCGCGGAGCTGGGGCCAAGGAAGTGAAGGAGCACCCTCTCTTCAAGCACCTCAACTTCAGGAGGCTGGAAGCAGGCATGCTGGACCCCCCCTTCAAACCAGATGTAAGTGCCTGTCCGTGTCCTGACCTTTTCAGTTACTGGTGCTGTCAAGGGAAGCAGGAGCCCTGGGGTGGCTCACCTGAGGAGATGGCACCCATCCCCTTCCCTCTTGTTTCTGGACCCTGGCAGAACAGGGGTCAAGCAAGCTCTGGGCTGTAGGGAGAGGGGGCCTAGGCTTGGCCGTGAGCCACAGTTGTTTGAGGTGGTGATATCTTCATGGAGCCTAGCATTAGAGCAGTCCTTGTGCTGTTTAGCCCCAGGCCATCTACTGCAAGGATGTTCTGGACATTGAGCAGTTCTCCACAGTGAAAGGGGTGGAGCTGGAGCCCACGGACAATGACTTCTACCAGAAGTTTGCTACAGGAAGTGTGCCTATTCCTTGGCAGAATGAGGTAGGTTTGCAGGACAGGTCTTTGCTCCTGCTTATGCCCACCATGGCAGAGTGCAGTGTCCCGCAGGGTTCGTGCTGTCTCTGCTGCTCTTGTGCTCTGCTGGGCCCTCAGTGATGGGCTTTGTGAGGCAGTCGCTGCAGCCATCTGTGCCCTCTTCCAGATGATCGAGACGGAGTGTTTTAAGGAGCTGAATGTCTTTAGCACAGATGGCACGGTGCCCCCAGACCTGGACTGGAAAGGGCAGCCTTCTCCACAGCCCAAAAAAGGGTTACTCCAGCGCTTATTCAGCAGACAGGTAAGAGTGTTTGCCTAGTGTTTTCTCCACAGCAAGTCCTTTAGCAGCAATGAGCCCGCTCTGGCCTATGCCAGGCAGATCTGGCAGGGAGGTGGGCACAAGCAGGCAGCAGGCAGTCTCCCCTTGTGCTGGGTGGCCAGACCCCAGGGCTCTCAGGAGGCCCCAGCCCTCGCCTGGCTGCTGGGGGAGTCAAGGGGGCTGGGATGGAGCGTCCTGGCTAAACGTGCTGCAGTCACACAGGCAGAGGGATGTTGTTGAAGGCACTAAAATAGCAAATCTGCTCCCTTCCTACATGAATAATACCATCCCTGAAGAAGACCTTGCTCTTGGAATGGGCTCCTGGGCTCCCCAGAGCATTTCTGCCAGACTTTGAGCAGGCAGAGAGAGCAGTGCTTTCGAGGGATGAGGAGAACGGAAACGTCTTGCAGCTGCTATGGGCTTGCTTGCCTGCCATTCTCCTCTTCCCAGAACAGTCTTTGCCTTCTTTCCAGGACTGGCAAAGTCTGGGCTGCTGCCTCTCAACAGCTGCTTGCAGCTGTGGGACTCAAGCGTGGTTGGCTCTGGACCGACTCTCAGCCACCCGGTGCTGACTCCTGCTTCCCCGATGAGCTCTGAGTTGTGCTTCACTGTTCAGTGGGCTGCCCTAGCCAGAGCCAGCTCTGGGCTGGGATACCCAGCCCTTCCTGAGGCAGGACCTGCCGGAGGATGGGCAGCTGCCTGTGGCAGGGGGTGGGCTGTGGTGATTTGCCGCGTGTTTTCTCTTTCCAGAGGTGAGCAGTCTCTCCTGGCTGCTCTGCTCAGGGAAACACCCGGTGGCCCGTGGACATGGCAAGATCTGGGAAAGAGGAGTGTTGTCCTTCAGTGTCTAACCCCTTTGCCCAGCAGAGCACAAGCTGCTTGTTGTTCTAACTGCCCCCTGAGCCACTAATCCCGCTTCCCTGCTCTCGCTGGCTTCGTGGGGGAGGCCTTGCCCTCAGCTCGAGCCAAAGCTGCCCCTGCACTGCCACTGCTGGGAGCTCTGCTCCCAGGGGGCTGTGGGAAGTTCCCTTCACTCCTCTCTTTGGATGTCTGGGACACACAGAAGGGTTGAGAAACCATGAAGGGTTTGGCGTTACCCCATGCTCAGACTCTCTCCCATTCCAGCAAAAAGGGCTTCAGCTGCTTCCGTGGCTGGCTCAGCCCTGAGCGGGGCAGATCGTTTGTGCTGGCACTGAGCTGTCTCCCTGGGGCTGTAGTCCATGGAGCTCATCTTCTTCCCAGCTTCTGAGCTAGTCAGCTGCGTGCTCACCAGTCTGTCTGCCAGGAGCTGAACCCCCAGATGCAGCTTGACTGTTTCTCTGCAGACTGGGGGTCCCCTCCAGCCCCTTGTCTCCATGTAGCTCTCCCACACGCAGGCTGGCGGGGGTGGGGGGCATGGCCCTTCAAAAAGGGGGGGGGGCGGGGGGCTTGCCCCTCCCCTGCCACAGGGCCGCTGTAGGCTGGGTTGTGTGACCGTGCTCACCCTCTGCTTGCTGTGCTCCTCTCTCTCCCTCCTCCCTCTCCTTGCCCTTCTGACTTCAGGACTGTTGTGGAAACTGCAGCGACAGCGAGGAAGAGCCCACCCGGCTGTAGAGCACAGCTTGTTCTCCAGCCCCTGGGACGCCCTTACCTCTCTGGGTGCCCAGCAGAACAACAGCCCAGCCTGAAGGACAAAGGTAGCAGCGGCCCCACAAGGTGGATTTGTTTACAGCTTTACATGTCTGTATTTGAAGACTGTGAGGATGGCTCCAGGGATGGCGGCAGCATGCGGCTCGAGCCAAGGCACCTTTGGCCATGGGCAAGCCCTCATCCCCAAGACAGACCTGGACGCTTCTGAATCTGCCGCTTGGGATTGTGCTGCCACCACCCGCTGGCTGCTGCTCCCCTCCCGGGCGCAGGGTGGGAGGGAGGGATTGCGCCAGCGTGGGCTGAGGCCAAGCTGGAGCAGCTCTGCTGACACATTCCACAGTGCCGAAGCGGCACTGCAGGTTTGGTGTATATTTATATACGTCAGTCTGTACATATCACATGTTGGTTTTTAATCTATAGGTGGGGGTCTGCACTGCCCCCACCCTGTCACAGGCACAAATGTCCTCCTATGGGGGGAGCGACCGTCCCAGCTTTGTACCAGGGAGTCCTGGGCAGAGGCCTTCTGTGCCTTGAGGTGTCTAAAGCATCTTTCCTGGACCTTTCTGGCCATGCTGAGGCGTCCCTGGCTCCAGCGGAGTCCCTTGCTCAGCCCCGAGGCACAGGAAACCACTGTGCCAAAGCGTCTACCGTTGCATCCTGGCAGCAGAACGTCACTGCCTCATCCCCGCTTCCCTGTCTGCTGGAGCCTGCTTCCTCCTGCCTCGTCTCGCACATGCTGCCAGCTCCAGGGAGCTGATCCCGGCCCCCTCTCCAGACCGCCGGCAGGCTGCCTGTGGCACAGCGGGATACAGCCGCTCCCACTCAGGAGGTACCTGCTGCGGGTCCAAAGAGGTCGGTCTGATCCCTGGCATGGTGCAGGATGGCCCCAGCGCCGACCCACCAGCTCTGGACCAGCCATCTTTGTGTGCTGGGGGTGCCGCGGTCCCCAGGCCCAGCTCGGTATCGGAGGAGCAGACACGTAAGGGACCCTGCTCTCAGGGAGTAAAGCTGTGGTAAAGGAAATGTCCCTTCGCAGAGTCATGCTGTGACCCAAGAGTGAGCGGGGCCAGGAGCAGCCCACCCACCGTACCGGCTTTGTGTGCATCCCCAGGGGCCCTGGGGAGCCAGCACAGTTCCTGTGCCTGAGGGCAGGGCAGGAGCGGAGGGGCCAGAGCCCTGCGTGTCCCTGGGGAGCAGCGTGGGGCTCAGCCCACCTTTCCGTTCTGCTTTTCCTGTCCCCTCTTATGCAGACTCATCCCAGCTATGTCCCGAGCAATAACTTGTCTCTTCTGTGTGTATGTACGCATATGCATGCGTGCGTGCACGTGTGCGTGTTGCTGCCTCGTGCTCGTTCTGAGCCAGGCCCCCCGGGGGGGCTGAGCACCTACTTGGACCTGTGGTATCATTTGCTTGCCTTGCACTAAAGTTGGAGAGTATTTAAATTTTTAACCTTTTGTGAAAGCGTAAGATTCACTGTGCCTTGTATTGCCGTCACGTCAAGGGGGGCCAGCTCCAGGCCGTACAGGGTTGGTGGCTGTAAGGAGGAGAGGAGCAGCGACCCCCGTTCCTGGGCTGCTGTCGGCTCTCCTGGTGCTGCTGTCCTGCAGGGAAGGGCTGGGGCTGCCCTCCAGGGCCAGGGCTGATGCTGAGCCCCGGGGACTGTGGGTGGCCCTTGGTGGCTTCTGCTGGGTGGTTTGGGTCGGTGCAGAGGCATGACAGGTACAAGGCCTTGTGCCGTTGAGATGCTCGTGTCTGCTGTGGTGCCCTTTGGGGCATGTCCCCCTGCTCCTCTGTCTGCCCGTGGCACAGCCCCTCCTGGACTGTCACGGGTGTGCTGTGGAGCCGGGGGCAGAGTCCTGCTCCCCTCCGGGCACTGTGCATCGCTGCTTCGGGGGGAACCGCGCAGAGGGGGAGCTTGTGCCAGCACAGGGCACTGCCTCCTTAGCCCAAGGGACAGCCCCTGGAAGGGGGGACACGGCGTGAGCAGGGTTAGGGTCATGACATTTGCCATGGGGGAGCATGGAAAGGGACAGGCCGGTCAGGGTGGATGCAGGGTGGGTTTGGGGTCCGGGGTCGGTGGCAGGGCCGGCGGCAGCG